CTTTTAATTTTGCAAATAAAAAAATAACATAAGCAGTGCTGAGTCTGGGGCTCAGTGGTAGAGCGCCTGCCTCACATATGTGAGGCACTGGGTTCGATCCTCAGCACCRCATAAAAATAAAAAGATTGTGTTCATCTATTACTAAAAAAATATTTTAAAAATATATAACACACATACATAAGCATTTATAGGTATGTGTGTGTGTATATATACAGAGAAAGGGGGAGAGAAGGGAACCATAGACAAACTCTTAAATATACCATATTATGGTTTTAATGTGAAATTCAAAATATACCATATTATGGTTTTAATGTGAAATTCTCTAACAATAATACTGGATATTTTTTCATACTTACTTGCCATATGATTATTCTCTTCAATGAAATACCTGTTTATGTGTTTTGTTAATTTTTAATTGCATTATTTACTGATTGTTGAGTTTTCCAGCCTTTGTATGTTTTATAAACGAGTACGTGTATTGCAAATTGTGTATTGCAAAAGTTTTCCACAGTGTATGGTTTGCTCCTGTATAAATGATGCTTATAAATGTTGACTAAAAAATAAAATAAAAAACTTTTTAAAAAGGAAAAAAAAAAAAAAAAAAACCTGACAACAAGCTGTTCTGGCAAAACGACTGCCTCCTGGGAGCAACCATCCTCCACACAGATGGGGGAAACTAATGGCCAGTTGAACACTGAGATCTTTAACAGGCCTATGCTTGCTCCACTTTTTGACACCGGGCAGGTTCCTTGCTCGGGCACAGATCCCTTGCTCGGGCACAGATCCCAGGAAAGCAGAAGCCCTTCAAACTCAGGAAATTCAGTGTGACATCTCCAGCTAGGTACCCACAGGGGCCCCTGCCCGACAGCACTCTTGCCTGAACCCCTGTAGGCCCCAAGGGGGTGTCTTACGGGCCTCTGGTCTGCACAGCTCTCCACCAGCTGGAAGTATCTCTCCTGTGAGCCATGGAACTCATTCTGGTCACACAGCTCCTCCACAGTGGTCAGCAGGTCATGGACGATGGTTCTGAGCTCTGGGCTCTCCAAGCTCTGCAGTATYAAAGTACCATCACAGACTGACTTCTGCTGCCCTCAGGACGTGCCCTTGGAGTCCTCAGCTCCAGAAGAGCTACATCCAGACCCTCCCAACCTCACTGGGACATGGTCAGCCACTGCTCCTGCCTATTCCCTACCCCCAGGGGAATCCTGGCTGGGCTCACACAGCCCGGCCTAGGAGAAGAGCAGGCAGGAGGGGAGAGCAGCTACAACTTCAAAAACTTACACCTCTCCCAGGCTCTAGCACCTTCTTTTTTGTGCATGTGCTGAAGACTGAACACTGAACTCAGAGGCACTTACCACTGAGCTACATCCTCAACTCTTTTTTTTTTTTTAAGAGAGAGAGAGAGAGAATTTTTTTTTTAATATTTATTTTTTAGTTTTCGGTGGACACAACATCTTTATTCGTAGGTGATGCTGAGGATCAAACCCAGGGCCGCATGCATGCCAGGCAAGCGCGCTACCACTTGAGCCACATCCCCAGCCCAAAATAGTTAATACTCAACTCTTATTTTTTTAAATATTTTTTAGTTRTCGATGGATMTTTATTTATTTATATGCTGTACAGAGAATCATACATACTAAGCAAGTGCTCTATCACTGAGCCACAGACCCAGGCAATTCAACCCTTATTTTTAAGACAGGATCTTGCTAAGTTGCTGAGGCTGATCTTGAATTTGCAATCCTCCTGCCTCATCCTCCCAAGTCTCTGGGATTATAAGTATATACCAGGCTGGCTCCAGTTCTGCCTGAAGCCCCAAGGGATGTGTCCTCTGTGCACCACCCCAGGCTGAAATGCCACCTGGCAGTGATTCACCAGCAAAGACTCGACTGAGACTCAACTCAGGCCCAGCCAAGCCCCATCCCTGCCTTCCACTGCTCCAGGCCTGGGAGAAGGCCCATCCTAGTTGCTGGCCTCATCTCCCATGGACCCTGTATGCAGCAGCACTCGTGTGGCCCTGCTGTGCTCCTTAGCACCAAAGTCAGCATGCTTACTAATGCTATCCTTCAAATTCATACCACAGGAATGGCCAACATCCAGAACCTCTGAAACCCACCTTCAGCCCACTCAGGCCATAGAAACAAGCTGCCTTCTTAGTCAGCACCACTAGCCCACCCGCTGCACATTTCTGTCTGGGGCCAGAAAGGCAGAACAAATCTGGAAAAACAAGACCTCACTTCACTGAAAGACAGGTTGAAACCACCAGCATACACAACCAAAGCAGGCTCTGAGACTCCAGAGAGGGGCCAAACACATAGGACATCATCCTCTGGGTGACAAGCCTGCCCCTCTAGGGTCTTAGTCCTCTTTGGCCCTTAGCTTCACTCGTGTCTTACCTGRAGCTGCTGAAGCAGCCGCTCGATGATGTTCAGCAGGATGTCCCACGTCACAGCCTGGAGCTCCTTTCTGTACTTCTTGATAAGCCTGGTTATGGACAGCACGATCTCATAGGACACCACCTCATTGGGACAGGTCATGGCCTGGAATATGGGGCCGGGGAAGCATGCAAGGTCAGCTGCTTCTCATTGCATGGGAAGCACTGACCTATGTCATCCTTGGAGCTGAGTCTAAGACACCTGGGTGTCTCRCCATGCAGTCACAATCAGAGCAGCAAGTGAGGATCCCAAAAGGACATTTGTTTTGCTAATACTGCTACAATACAGYTGGGATCCAAACAGGGCCCTGAAGCCCCTGCCTCCAAAGAGCCTGATTTGGACAGTAACTTTGAATTCTGGGTCCTGGTGTACTGGCATGACAGAAACTGAGAGCTACTACCTCAGTCCCAGTGCAAATGATGAGGAAAGAACATACCCTGCACTGTTGCCACCAACAGAAGCAGACAAAGCAGAAAGCCTGCAGATATGAGATCAGGAAATTCTGTGTAACCAGAGGAGATGCAGCTTATTTGAGACAGGCTCTGGCTAAGTTGCCAGGCTGGCTTCAAACTTGCAAGACTTCTACCTCTGCTTCCCAAGTGGCTGGGATTACAGGCTGCACCTGGCTATGATGCAGAGCAACACTGCACTATGATATTTGGATCATGTAATTGCTCCAGTTCACCAGGGAGCCATGAGAAATAAAAGCTAACACACACAGGAAGTGCTGTGAATGACTATGTCGACAGCATCACCCAGAGAGAAGTTAATATTACCACCTTGACAAAACAGAACTGTCACTGGCAAGAGGATTGCTATCCTAGGGGCAACACTGATCAGTTCCAGTATTAATTTACAGGAGATGAAATTCATCAGAGAGAATGTTTGCTTGAGATCAAAACCTTTGAACTGCCCTAWATTTCATACCCAGCTGAAAAGCAAGTAACTGGATGTATCCCTCTCCCCAGCCCCAGCCAGACACGTGGGTAGGCCTGACAGGAGTGTGCCCACTCTTGCCAGCTCACTGTAGCACAGAAACCCCATTACCTCATAAAAAGATGGCAACACAGATGTTGGGGAGTTCTTGAGAGAATAGAGTCGGTGGGCTCCCCAGAGAGCCATGCCTACAAAGAACACAGCTCCTCGCAGCAGTGGGGCATCTTCCATATAGGCTCTGAAAGCATTCCCCAGAAACACAGATGTGAGCAGGGTCCCTGCCTGGTGGGAGGCCTGGGGGGACCTGGGCTCTGGCAAGGCCCCTAGCCATCCTTGCCCTTCAGCTGGGGAAGGGCCAGAAAATGGGCAGGGAACACAGGCCAGCAGCAACTATAACTCTTTGATGACTCCTTTAACAGCCAAGTACTGCTGATCACACCATGGGCCATAGGTCATGTCATGCACAGGGACACATGGTGAAAGAAGCTCATGACACCCACAGTCCAGTGGGAGACAGAGACCAAAGAATCACACACATGCAAAGCAAAGTACTATAGAGCAAAAGCTACTCAGGGAAACCAGAAAGCTGATGACTGCACTGGCAAAGGCGGGAGGAGACAAGGGGAGGCCCAGGCCAACAAGGACCTTGCTCCACAGGGAGACAAGCTATTCTGGGAGCACTGCAGTCTCAGGCAAAAGGTGACAGTGAAATCTATTAGAAAAAGGTCTCTCAGGCCCCAGAACCAACCCCGCGCCCGGCAATCCCAACTTGAAGAGAATTGTTATAGTGCTTTTTTTTTTTTTTTTTTTTTTTTTGAGAATTTCAATATTTATTTTTTAGTTTTCGGCGGACACATCTTTGTTCGTATGTGGTGCTGAGGATCAAACCCGGGCTGCACGCATGCCAGGCGAGCGCGCTACCGCTTGAGCCACATCCCCAGCCCTATAGTGCTTTTTTTAAAAAAAATATTTATTATTTAGTTGTAGTTGGACACAATACCTTCATTTTATTTATTTATTTTTNGAGAATTTCAATATTTATTTTTTAGTTTTCGGCGGACACATCTTTGTTCGTATGTGGTGCTGAGGATCRAACCCGGGCTGCACGCATGCCAGGCGAGCGCGCTACCGCTTGAGCCACATCCCCAGCCCTATAGTGCTTTTTTTAAAAAAAAATATTTATTATTTAGTTGTAGTTGGACACAATACCTTCATTTTATTTATTTATTTTTATGTGGTGCTGAGGATCGAACCCAGGGCCTCGCACGTGCTAGGCAAGCACTCCATGGCTGAGCCACAACCCCCGCCCATTATAGTGCTTTTTGACAGATGGTGCATAAATTCCAAAACCAGGGAAACCCAAATGCATGAACATTTTCTGTCCTGCAGTTCCAAGTACCCAAGTGGATCCATGTTAGGGCACAAGACACAAGAAATTCTGTCTTCCTCCTTGAGCTCTGGCTAATGACAGCTATAACATTACTGATAGAACTGCTTGCTGAATCATTATTATTTCCAAACACATAAACCTTGTTTTCCATGGGAAAAAAAAAGAAAAAGGTCTCTCAGCTCCATGTGAAGAATGTACTTCAGAGAGCAAATGAACATAAGGGAGTAGATGAGAAGGGAGTTCTGGTGGGAGTGGGAGCCCAGTGGGCAGCACTCAACATGAACTACCTCAAGGGAGCAGAAGCAKCAGGACTGTGATGTTTGGCTGTAGGGACGAGGGAGATGTCAGGTTAACACACCAAGTGTAGYCTTGTAACAGGTTAAGGGAGCGAGTCACAATAGAGACAGGTAGGTAGAGGCAGAGGCTTTTGAGTTCAATTACAAACTTTCTGGTTTGTCCAACAGGAGAGAATGTGAGAACACACACCATGTGCCTGGCTTGAGTGAAAGCTCCTGGAACAGCCACCCAAAAGAACCAGAAAAGCCCCAACTTTGTCTATGCCACAAGTGTCAGCACACCCTTTGCCCAGGCCTGCCCACACTTGCCTGTCTTCCATGATGCGGCACATGTTGTAGATGGCACTATGGCCCAGGTGGGTGCCCAGGAGGTTACGCATCAACTAGGAAAAAACATACATCAGAGGGATTCGCAGGTATGTGTCCCAGCCCTGACAGGGGAGCCCCCAGCSCTCTGCTTGCCCTGAGCAGCCAGGGCTCTGTAGGCAGCTTACTCTCATAAACAGAGGTAGGAGCCCCATTGAAATACCACCTAAAGCCTGGCTTCAGCTCAACTGCCTGGAAAATGCCACTGAACTGCTCTTAATGGGCCACCACTGTATCACCCTGAAAATAGGTGCCATTCACTGCAAACAAAATGGTCTGCCTTGTCATGACATGTACTGGGACTGGGACCTTGTCTGAGAAGGATCTTCCAGGACCATGGTCTCAGAACCCCACCTTCCAACAAGGCTCACAGAGCTCCTTGACGTTGATAGTACGACAAAGAGTGACGATGAACAGGGGGAGGCTTTCAGCCGGCAGGCAGTTATAGCAGACCACAGCRTCCAGCACCTGCAGGGAGACCTACAGGAGGGAAAAGGGGTCACACCAGTGCCCCCCAATGCCCACACTCTGCCCCACTGCCCTAAAAGCCTCCTCAGAGCCATACTGCAAGCAAGTGTGCATCCAGGAGGCACTCCTGTTACTGTGGGCCATCGACACCACCTGCCCTGACCTGAGCTACGACTCTACGACAGATGCCATCCACTGTCCTGACTGCAGCTCAAAGTGATCAAGCCACCTGGAGCCACACAGACAGAGTGACACATAGGGTTTGACCCCAGAGTCTTAGCCCCCCAAAAAGGAGGGTGCAATGAACAGTYCCCTGGGGAAGGGAGTCACTGACCTCTATGTCCACAGAAGACACAGTCCGGATGCAGAGCAGACAGATCATGCTATGGAAGAAGTGCCAAAGTTAGTTCAGAGTGCATTTCCAGAAGGCCAAATGCCTGCTTTCATTTTTTGGCCACTCTGAGATACTGGGTTTGTAAGCAGCTCATACTCCCTTAGAATGCCTTGCTCTGTGCCAGCCCCATGCCCTGTGCTGAGTATTCATATGAATGAGACAAAGCCATGTCCTTGTGGACACCAAAGATGTTCTGAAAAACTAACAACAAAAGGAGAATAACCAAAGCACAGGAACAGTGTGAGAAAACAGGTCGACGTCCTGCTTCTCCATTTGTTCAGTGGCTTCCTCCCCTTGACTCACCCTGCAGAGCCAGACTGGAGCCAAAGGAGTGGGACCAAGTGCAGAATGACACTAAGCTCTTCTCTTTTCATTTTTACTTGGAGCTAGTGACCAAACCCAGGGCCCTGTGCATACTACATAAATGCCCTACCACTGGGCTTCACCCCAGACCTCATTTAAACTCTTTGCTTACTGAACCATTGATGCAATATACTCATCGAGGTAACAGCTGTTAAATTTGACCAAGTTCACAAGCACCAGAAGGAATTCTGAGGTCAAGCCAACATCCATCCACTGCAGGACAAACTCCGCTAGGAGAGAAGAGGAAGAGAGTAGTTTGTGGAAAAGCCAAGGACATAGTTCCTCCTCATTTCCCTCTCAGGAAAATGAGTTTGAATCCCATTACTGCTGGGCAGCACACCATCAGTCCCCTTGCAGTGACAGGCAGACCTCCTTACAAGACCTAAGAAGGCTCTCTTGGGCCTCAGAAAGCCAGCTGTGCATGGACAAATTCACCAGCTCCCAGGCTGCCTTGGAGCTAGGCAGCAGCAGGATAATGTATTTAACACTCAGTGCCCAACCTCACTTTAGGGGGCATAAACATCACAGGGCACATGTTCAGGAGGTGAGTACCTGGGCATCCCCCAATCCCACCAAGTGTCCCTGGAAGGAGATACATGCACACGCCAGCCATTTTTCCTAGAAACATGTCAGCACCTGTTCTGGAGGCAGACCAGCCAYTGAGGCCCATTTCTGGGCATCAGAACAACAAATTTCCCACTCTGTTCTCTTCTCCCCACAATGGGGACATAAAGTCTGACCAAAACCTCTACTGACAGGGTGACAGGAGGAAGTGGGCAAGGAGAGTGGGAGGTAAACCAGTGGTGGTGAAAACCCAAGCCAGGCTTGAGAGTGAACAAGAAACAGGACCTTGGTGCTCTGGGTGAGACCAGGTTGGCAGCACTCTCTCCTAATTACAGACATGGCCTACCACCTGCCAGCTTCAAAGAAACCTTCTGAGCCCCCACTTCCCAAAGCCTTCAAGTCAACAGGTCTGGAGTGCAGCCTAGGAGTCTACATGTCCAAAAAGTTCCCCTGGAGACTTCAGACCCAGGTGAGCCCTCTGGAACCATTCCATTGAACTACAGCATGCCTCCTGGCCCAGATCCCTCCTCATCCCAGGTTAGATTTAATCACAAGGCCAGAGAACCCTTACAACCAGTATGGCACCCACCCAGTTCTTCTTCCAAGTAGGTGATGTGTTTCCCATTGTCCGTGAGGGCCTTGAAAACTTCCAGCCTTTCATGGAGGTCTTCATTGGAGGGATAATCCTTGATGACCTTAAAGAAGAGGGCTCTGAGGACCCCCAAACGGTCACCCTAAAGACAAAACCATGAGGTCAGCAGAGCTCTGCCAGGGCCTCCCACACAGCTACCAAGAAGCCAAGAAATACAGCAGACACCAATATTGTGGGCCTGATCTGTGCTCCTTTCCCCAGGAACACCTCAAGAGATGGGCTAGCAACATCAGTGGGCTCCAGGCAGCAAACCAGATGCACTGGTAGGCAGCTGACTAGTGTGTGGCGCCTCCCTACTGCATCAGGCTCTGGATACTGCAAACACACAGCAAGGACAACACAGCTCTGCCCTCACCCAGCTCATGGTCCAGGATAGATATGTGTGCGTTCACACTGTAAGGACAAAGGCACTACAGTCTCAGAGGATGTGCAGCCAGAGTAGAGGTGCCTCTTTGAGCAGTCAAGTCACGAAGGAAGACAGCAATCACTAGATAGCAAGATGACTGGATGCCCAAGGGCCAGCCAAGAACCACACAGCTAAGCACCATGAGCAGGGAGAATGGCCCTTGCCAGGGGACTGGGGGGCAGAAGCAAAATAACACTGGCTGTGCCAATTACTGCTCCTAAGAGTCTACATGAACTGCTTTTTTTTTTTAAATGGAGGGATCTTGAACCCAGGGATTTTTTTTAACCACTGAACTACATTCCCAGCCCCCTTTTTTTGAGATAGTCTCTTAACAAGTTTCTGAGGCTGGCCTCCAATTTGCAATCTTCCTGTCTCAGCTTCCTATGTATACATAACTGTGTCCAGCTGAATTGCTCTGTTTCATCCCCAGAACATCCAAAGGAAGGTATAACCACCATCTCCACTCAACATGTCAAGTGGAGGCTTAGGTGGCTCCCTCAATTGGCGAGGTTCACAGACATCAGTGGTGACACTGGGATGCCCACATGTACAGTCTAGCCCCAGAACCCCTGCTAATTCCCAGACCCCACACCTCGTGTCCCTGCCAAAGACAGGAGCCCAAATATAGGCAGCCTGATGAAATCCCCCATACAAGCCAGTCCAGCACTGCCCTTTACCTGCCCCTGCACAATGGCCTTCAGCAGAGCCAGCACCGCGTGTCGAGCCTCTGGTGGCCGCTCTGGCTGCAGCAGGTCCGCGACAGTCTTCCAGAGTGCTTCCACTGCATGCTGCCACCAGCAAAGAGGGGACAGTGGTAATGGTGTGATCTTCAAGAACCTAGCCCTTAATACAAAGCACCATGCAAAGGACAAAGCAGAAGAACAACAGCCTCCTGATTCAGAACCAGTTCCTCAACAGCCCACATCCTATGTATCTCCTGCAGCCTATGAGTACCCCAGGCCTCAGAGACACTTCACACTCAAGCAGGTCCCTCTAAGAGGCCCCAGGTTGCAGGCTGGTGAAAGGAGGGCAGCAAGCAGGCTAGGAAAAGTCCTGACTTCCCCAAGACCCACAGGGAGACTCTTGTAGAATTGCTCAGTCTAGAGGGCTATCACCAGAAGTTTCAAATCCAGAAGAACAAGGTGTGCCTAGGCCTGTGCCTGACCCAGAAACTCTGCCCCATGGCTTTCTTCCACATGAACCCACCACCGGTGGTCCACTCAGCAACACACCCTTCCCCTGCCCTGCTGCCCACTGGAGCTGCTAAGGAAGAACTCCATGCGGCTTCCTGAAGTCTGCTCCTCACTGACTCCCACCACCATGGGGAATTCACTCCTGTCCCTAGAGTTGCCCAGATTCAGCCTCTGCCTGCAAGCTCAAGCTAGCTCAAATGTTACCTTTCCTTCCCATGTGAACCATGTCTCTACTCCCTTCACCAGAGTTTTCAGACCACTCACTCACTTTCTTAGGCTTTCTCCCTTTAAGTGGGGGGCTAAAACATCTCTTAAGATTTTTTTGTTTTTTCACAGTACAAGGGATTGAACCCAGGACCTTGCACATGCTAGGAAAGTGCTCTGCCACTAGGCCATATCTCAACCCTTTCTTAGATGCTTTGTGACCAATATCTCAACCAACTCAGGATATACTGAGACCCTCACTGCATATGTCACATTCACAATACTCCTAACAATGTAACCTGAGCTGCAACACAGACACTGAGCCTGTGGATCATCCCAGCCTCTTAGGCTTATACACATGATGTTCCATACCCCCAGGGGCAACTTTCTGAATAAGGGATGCCTGCTTTTTACATTGATACTTGGTGATGTGCAGCTTACATGTCTCAGATAAACTGCTGAAGATGTAGTTGTCACTTCCCTCTACAAATGAGTCCCTAAGTCTCACACACAAACAATGGGCAAGGCCAAGGAGAGCTAGGGTGTTCTACATCTACCCTGATCCCCAGAATGACAACCACCCACTCTGTCCACGGCAACAGAAGAGCCTGGAAATGTCCATCCAAAATAAAGCTGGCTATGTTAGTTCTGTGCAGCTGCCTGTTGCCACCAACCAGTCACCTCTCCCAAGCAGCTTCCAAGCCAGGGTGCCTTAACACATCCTCTGTGAACCCACAACTTTCTCAGCATTCCTTCACCTTCCCCTCTTCTGAGTGTTACCCAAGAGAATGAGCAGGCACACATTTACATTAAAAAAGGAAAAGCCTATTCCCTTTGCCTCCTACCATGATGAGTCTCTCAGGGTTATACTCAGGACATTTCCAAAAGCTCAGCTCTATCACTCAACTGCAAGTTAAGTTTCCCTAAAATAGTGAAAATCCTACCACCACAAAGCTAGCTATCAACCATGCTCCTAGTAAAAGAAACTTCAAGGCTTCAAAATGGTCAACACGCATCTCTTCAGTTCCACAACTGAAACAAACTTACCTCTTCAAACTTCTTAGTTTTTGCAACTTCACAGATCTGCCCTATCACTCTGATGCGATTGTTGAGACCACATTCAACACTCAGTTCCTTGAGAGGAGAGAAGAAAGAAAGAAAAGGGGCTAGCACTCAGACAACGGGCCTCCTTAACTGTCAATCACAAAACTATCCTATGAACTGCACTTTCCAGCCTGAAGATCTGTTGCAGATCTTTACAAAATCAGGATTTGCTTACTACTCTACCTTAGTGGACAAACAACGGGGCAACATTGGGGCTGGGACTGTAGCTCAGTGGTAGAGCGCTTGCCTTGCAAATGTGAGGCACTGGGCTCCATCCTCAGCACCACATAAAAAATAAATAAATAGGGTTGGGGATGTGGCTTAGTGGTAGCACACTTGCCTAGCATCTGTGAGGTTCTGGATTCCATTCTCAGCACCACATAAAAATAAAGTTATTGTGTCTATCTACAATTAAAAATATTTTTAAATAAATCTAAAAAAATATTGTATCCACCTACAACTAAAAACATTTTTTTTAAATGGGCAACTTTGTTTTTCATAAGAGCAAAGTTTTTATGGAGATACACCACTGTAACAATTTTAAACTGTGCAACTCTAGCCTCAGTACATTCTCAATGCTTATAAGCATCTCCACTAATTACAGAACATTTCCATCATCCCAGAAGAAAAGTACATACCAATTCCTTCCTCCCCTCAGCCCTGGTAACCACCAAACTGCTGTCACTACTTACTTACCTTCTGCATTTCATATAAGGGGACTCACACATCATGGGAACCTCTTGTGACTAGCTTCTTTCATTTAGCATGTTTTCAAAGTTCATTTATGTTGTAACATGTCAGTCAGTGTTCCATTATTTCTACTGCTGAATTACACCTCACTATATGAATGTACAATATTTTATTTATATGCTTTACCAGTTAATGAGCATTTTAGGTGTTTCTGAGTAAGAAATTTTACAAGTACAAAAATTCATTTACTTATGGGCAAATTTGGTGCCAGGCATGTGTTTGGGGGATTCAAACATATCTTAATAAGGATGAGGATGGGGGTGTAGTTCAACAGTAGAAGGTATACTTAGCATGTGCTAGGATTTAACCCCCAAGACACACACACACACATACACACACACCCCCCAAAAAATAAAATAAAGACCTACTTCTCCCAGGAACTCATAAATTAGCACTTAATCCCTAGCCATATCCCTAACTACTTGTGAATGTGAAGTGGRAGTCAGGCCACATCAATTACATTGGATTTTCTTGTATCTTTAACACAAGAATCAAAAGCAGGTCACCGAGATCCTGACATTGTGTCCTGAAGAAGGACATATACATGACTCCAGAGTGGCCCCGTGCAGAAGGTCACCAGCAGCCCATCTCCTTCAGAACATGGAGAAGGGCCACCCAGCCTTCCTACTGGGCAGGCAGCTCACTCACTCTCAGGATTTCCGCTGTGATGATAAACTCCGTCTGTTTGCCTTCTGCGGATCTAGGGCTTGGCCTTGGTGTTCCCAGTCCCAGCAGAATCTTGAACTTTTCCTTCAAGCCTGAATCTTTGCTTGCTGGCTTGGCCATGGTGGGCAAGGGCACGCGAGATGACTCGTCTGTGCAGAAGAAACAAAAGCTGGAGACACCTGACTGACAGCTCCGCCCACCTGCCCTGCTGCTGACCTTCGGACGCTCAGACCCTAGGTCTCTGGTGGGCATAACCTTCCTCTTTACAGCCCCTGAGGTCAACTCAACCACAGCCCAGCTGACCCGGCCACAAATATGCCCGGAAAAGGCCGGCTTGGTCTAGCGAGTTGCCCGGGTGCAGGGGGCGAGGGCAGTGCCGCGGCATCCAGGAGTCCGGACGTTTGCCACGGCTCTCCGCCCTGAGTGGAGGAAGAGCGGTCGCGGGGACGTCCAGAAGGAGATCCGCTCGCACCGCCATAACTTAACGCCAAGGTGTGCTTGGAGCCCCGGTGCCAGGCTGCGGCGGGCGCGGGCAAGGCCCGGGCGCTGCGGGGCCCGCGGCCACCGTGGACCGGCCACACCGCGGGCCGAGAAGGAATCAGGGCGCCACGAGCCACTTACCCTGCGCGCCCCTCACGCGCAGGACCGCCCGCGGCGGTAAGGGTGCACACCCCCGGCCCCGAGCCGCCGCCGGAAGCGCGACCTGCACTTCCGGGGGTGGGGACACTCCACGGGTCTGCGCAGGGCTTGCCGGGAACCGTAGTTCGGGGCGCGCGCGGAGCACGTGACTGGGTCGCGGAGCACCCTGGAAAGGTAGTCAGCAGGGTCCGGCATGAGCGCGGGGTTGAGGATGCTGACGCGCAGCCGGAGTCGCTCTCCACGAACCAGGCCACGCGGGGGTGGGGAGGAGCCCGCGTCAATCCCGAGACGAGAAGTGGCGGCAGGTAGCGCCTCGGGAGGAGAAGGGGGCAAGGGGACCAGGGCTGCAGACCAGGATCTCGGGCCGCGCGGCGGGACCCTCACCCATAACATCGCCAAGCCTGCAAACCTCACGTGTGGCCCTGCGAGTCTATCTTAGCCCTTGCCCAGAGGTTGGGGTCCACAGGACTGGGTTCTGGGCGAATCCGCCCCCCTCCCAACCTGGTCCCAAACGAGAAAGTTCCCATCCCACCGCCCTGCCTCCCAAGGACGCTCCACGTGTATGTGGATGAATGTAGAGCATAGCGGACCGGTGCTCCGACGTGCTTCCTCTCAACCAGGCTAGGTGCCAAGAACATACCTAGCCAGAAGTGTTGTCCCCAGCTGGACGGTGACTCAGAGGAAACAAGAAAGAGTGTGGCATTTGTCCTGTAGCCATTAAGGACCTACTAGTGCCAAGCAGGGGACTCAGCGCGACTAATAATAGACCCCTGCATTTCTCCCGCTGGGACTTCTGCAGAATTGGCCAGAGTAGGATTCCCACAGGCAACAGKGGTAGTCCAGGCAAGGAGACCCTTTGGGGCAGAGGCATGCAGGGGGAACTTGTGCTGTGGGAGCAGGCAGGTTAAGATGCCTGCCAGGTTGGTGGAGCTTTTGAGTTCGGCASGAGTGCAAAGGAGTTCCAAAAGGGAGTGACACCATTCTAATTTGGGCGTTAGAAAGCTCTCTTGGATGTAGCTTAGAAGACATTGTTGGAGTCTAGGGATGCGGTTCAGTGGTAGAGAGCTTGCCTGTAATGCATGAAACCCTGGGTTCCATCCCCTGTGCCACCAAAAGAAAAAAGAYATGCTGTGGTTATCAGGGTAAAGGCTGTTCCTGTTGTGCTAATGTGTGTGCACTGTTAGGCTRTGGTGCCCTGCCTGCAGAGGGCAGAGCACCCTCACTGTCTTAGAGGAGGAGGGAGTCAGCAGATAGGCAGCTCCCTTAAGGTATCCTCACCTGTGGCCTCTGCACAAGGAACTGAGTGACACTTTTTGCAGAAGGAAGAAAAAAACACAGGCCTGGGAAGTGTCAGCAGAAGACACAGAGGCTGCATGTGGCTTATGAGGCCTTGGATGGTGAGAAAGGTGAGGGAGCTGAGCCCCTCAAGGTTTCTGCCTGGGAACCCCAGGGATGGCAACAGCAGCTAGCCAACATCCGCACCATGAGAAGCAAGAAGGATGCACCTGTGGACCAGCTAGGGGCTGAGCATTGCTATGACCCCAGCGCTCCTCCAAAGGTAGGCAGGGGACTCATCTACTCAGTGACTCCCCTCTCTTCTAAGCAAAGAAGATGCTTGTTTCCTCTCAYACCTCTGGCAGGGGACAGCCTGAGATCTGGCAGCTCTTGGCTGTTACCCTCCCTTGCAGGAAGCTCCCTGGGTAATGTACTAGCTGGTAACCCAGAGYATAAGGCAGCATCACCTGCTTCATTGTGGCCACTCAGCTAGTCAGAGATACCTATGGCTTGGGGCCTTGTGCTCTGCTTTCTGCTGGGCACAGTGCTGATTCACAGGGGTGCATGATGATGTGAGAGAGGGAAAGTTCCCTGTATTTCACTGGCCTGGTGCCTGGGGCCTTAGCTCAKCTGGAGTTCCGATCCCTACTCTGCTGCCTGGGGACTTTGGTACTTGAGTCTCTGATCTTGTTTGCTTAATTATAAGATGAATAGTGTTGCTCTCAACAAAGCAATAACAGTAATGATCATAGTTGGTCATTCTTGAGTAGTGACCATCCACCTGATATAATTCTAACTACTTTGATAATTTGATAATTTATTTGATCTTCACACTGGCCCTGCCAGGCAGATAGTTATTCTCCCCATGCTATAGGTAACAAGATAGGTATCACATATACCCTGTAACAAGTAAAGGTGGGTAGAGGGCTTGGTAGGGCCTGGCCTCAGTGGTGCTCCCATGACCTTCCACTACCCCTGTCCCTGTCATTTCACAAGCAGGTGCGGAGGTACCAGGTGCTGTTGTCGCTAATGCTCTCCAGCCAAACCAAAGACCAGGTGACTGCAGGTGCCATGCAGCGGCTGCGGGCCCGGGGCCTCACAGTGGACAGCATACTGCAGACAGATGATAGCACACTGGGCGAGCTCATCTACCCTGTGGGCTTCTGGAGGGTGAGCCCAGACTAGGGCAAAAGGGGCCTGGTGACACTGGCCACAAGAGCCCCTTAAGCCACAGACTTGCTGGGTAGGGGGGGCTGGACCATGGGGCTGGTGACTTGTCCCTGGGGCTCCTTGGCCTTTCCTGTTTGCCCCCACTTCCTTCCTCTACCTCCCCACCCAGCTGCCTGCCCTGCCCTTCCTCGCCTTCTCTTTTGTTTACTCTAAGTCTCCCTGAGTGAATCACCCCCCTCTCCAGATCTCCAAAGAGACCCTCCCCCACCCCACAGAACACTGGGTGGTGGGTGGGTGGAGCTGCTTCCCTTTGGCACTGGTGTGGGCTGCAGTCTGTCAGACAGGTTTTAAATAGCCCTCTCTATTCAGGATGGGAACCACCCAGCTGGCCTGACAGCTGGTGGGGGAGCCCCAGGCACTAGCTCTCCTTCCTAAAGACCCAGGTGCTACCAAGCCCAGCTCCTGGAAATAACTGGCCTGCTCAGCCTGGCCAGGCCTCTGAAGGGAGTGCCAAGGCAGAGGGACACAAGCTGGACCACACATATATCATTGGCCTGTGTGGGTGGGAGGTAGGGGCTRGGATTGCCTTGGGTCTACCTGCTACTGCCCTTGGCTCCTTCCCACCTGGAGGTGGGGAGCAGGTGCCTCTACATGGGTCCTGGACAGGTGACAGGCAGCTCTGGGCACTTGCGGGTCTCCCCAGGGTCTCGTCCTCCCGATTCAGGCTGCACATACCCCCAGGGCTGATCCTTCCCTGCCATCTTTCAGAGCAAGGTAAAATTCATCAAGCAGACCAGCGCCATCCTGCAGCAGCACTATGATGGGGACATCCCAGCCTCTGTGGCAGAGCTGGTAGCACTGCCAGGTGTTGGGCCCAAGATGGCACACTTGGCTATGGCTGTGGCCTGGGGCACCATATCAGGCATAGGTGAGTGGCATGGCCACAAAGAGGGAGGGGCCAGCTCTAGGTTGGCTGGCTGCTATTGGGCTCCCCACATCAATCCATGTGAGCTCTAGCCTTCTCATCCAGGACTAAACCCAAAGGGTCAGAAAGGTGTTTGCTGTGCTTAGCCACCCAGCACCACCCAGCAGTGGGTATTCATAGTAGGAACTCACATTTACTGAGCACCTACTATGTGCTGGACTCTGTAAGGGGCCCTTGGAGATAGCCACAGGCCCATGGTACACACTAGGGACAGTGGGCAAGGAAGGCCTCACCTGTGGTGGCAGCACTCCTGGGGCATGGCATTTGCTGTGGAAGCTGACCCGGGCTGGGAGCATCTAAGAAGATGTCCTGGGAAGATGGCAGCTGAGAGCCTTGGGTAAGGCAGGATAAGCCAGGCCAAGAGAAGGAAGCACATTCCAGACAGAAGGAACTGTGTCTCCAAAGCTATGAGGTGAGAGAGGCCAGGACAGGGAAGTTCAGGAGTAAGATGGCCAGGTAGGGAGTTTGAGGAGGCAGTGGGGCTCAGGAAGAATGGCTGGCTGTCTCCTGGGATTGGTGATGAACTGGGTGGGGGGGCCTTCCTGGGTGTTACCTCCTGGCACTAGAGGGTCCTCTGTGTAGCTAGGTGAAGAMAGAACTCCCTGGGGCACCAAGGTGGACCCTAACCACCACCCCAGAGCTGCTTTCTTCTTCTTTTTCTTCTCCTTTTTTTGGTATCAGGGATTGCTGATGGGGTCTTTGAATTCGTGATCCTCCTGCCTCAACCTCCTGAGCTGCTGGGATTATAGGCATATGCCACTGTGCCCAGCATGGGCTGCTTTCTTCTTGAAGCTTTGCCCAGGGAGTTGAGACTCCTGCAGTTGCATAATAACGGGGCCAACCTGCCCAGAAACCAGGGTTTGACCCACCCTTTCTGTATACCCCTGACCCCAGTCTTCTCTGGAACTCCTATCCAGCYCAGAGGAATATCCTCTGGCAGGTATCTGAGCTGACAGTGTCTCCCAGCACTCCCTGGAGAGGAAGAGGGTAGCTAGGGGCCCAGAGCTTTGGTTGGGAGCTGATTACCACCTGGTGAGGCTGGAGATCAGCAACCCCTGGAAGAGCCAGGCCTGGGCGGGAGTGTGGCTGTCCCCACCCCTACCTCAACTCCCAGTGCCACTGCCACCTCTCACCAGATACTTGAGCTTATCTGGGCACTGTCCTCAGCTGCCCGTGTCCTAGGAGTAGTGCATTGTACTTGGGCACCTAGATGGGGGAAGGGCCTCTGCCCATGGCCCAGACAGGGACTGCTTTGGAACAGCAGACAACAGGAATGTCAGAATGCCACCCTCCCTGCAGGAAGACCTGACCTGCCTTTTAGGGGAGGCAGTTAAAAAGCCAGAGCCAGCCAGGCTTAGTGGTACATACCTGTGATCCTGGCTACTTGAGAGACTGAAGTAATAGGATTGCAAATTCAAATTCAAGGCCAACCTGAACAAGTTAGTGAGACCCTGTCTCAATTTTTTTCTAATATTTATTCTTAAGCTTTAGGTGGATACAATATCTTTATTTTACATTTATGTGGTGCTGAGGATTGAACCCAGTGCCTTGTGCATGCTAGGCAAGCACTCTACCACTGAGCCACAACCCCAACCCAAAACTTTTTTTTTTTTTTTTTTTATAGTGCTGGGGATTGAACCCAGCACCTTGTGCATGTAAGGCAAGCACTCTACCAACTGAGCTATATCCCCAGCCTTCAATATATATATATATTTTTTGTGTGTGTGTGGTGCTGGAGATTGAATTTAGGGCATTCTGTATACAAGGCAAGCACTCTACCAGCTGAGCTATATCCCCAGCCCCTCCTGTCTCAGAATTTTTAAAGGCTGGGAGCCAGGTGCAGTGTGATRTAAACCTATAACCCTCAGGAGGCTGAGGGGAGAGGATCACAACTTCAAGGCCAGCCTGGGCATCTTAGCAAGATCCTATCAAAAGATCTGGRGAGGTAGCTCAGTGATAATGCACCCCTGGGTTCAATTCCCTGCACTGTAAAAAATAAAATAATTTAAAATGAGAGCCAGAGCCATGGGGTCCAGGAGCAGGTTCTAGTTGTGCCTCTCCCACCTGAGCAATCTCAGGTCAAGTACTTGGCCTCTCTGAGCTTTGACTCAAAGCTGGTAAAGCAGTAGCCCTCCTTAATCACACAGATACACCAAAGATTTGAATGCCGTGTCCTAAGGAGCATGGTCACCTCTCTTACAGAGGAGGAAACTCCAGGACGGGAGCCCTTAGCCTTTTTGCTCTGCCTGCCCCCCAGGCAGTTAGCAGTAAGGCAAGGGAGCAGATACAGGGATTGCCTTTCACTGGCAAAGCCCTGGAGAAGCAGGGCCATGGCTACTGCTGCCAGGGTAGCTGGGTGGAGACCTGGAGCTGGGCTGAGCCCCTGCAGTGGCCAGCTGACAGGAGCAGGGGCTGAAGCCCAGGTGGACTGCAGCTGCAGTAGACCAGGCTGCCTTCCCTGTTCTGTCCTTGACCGATGTAGTGGCAGGTGCTGGCTCTACAGCAGTGACCTCAGGCCAGCCTACCAAGCCAAGCCACTGCCACGCCACCTGGTGCCTGCAACCAGTGCCTGGACAGGGAGATAAAGCAGAGGCGGAAAGGCAGGGCCTTTCCTGGGTCAGCCCTTGGTCCTGGAGAGGCTGCAGGCTAAGAGTACACACAGTTTGCGTTTGTTTCTTTGTTTTGTTTAGTGTGCTAGGGCCTCCTGCATGTTAAGCATGCCTCTACCACTGAGCTACAACCCTAGAGAGCACTTCAGAGTAAGAACCCTGCCCAGCCTCAGCTTTGCCTTGTAAAGATTTACTGAGCTGAGACTGGTAGATCTTTTGGTGCAGAGTCTGACCCCCAGCTAGCTGTTACCATTTTGGGGTGATACATAGCCTAAAGCAGATACGGCTCCACCTTCCCAGCTACATCAGGATTGGTGGGAATGGGTCAGCCCAAAGCAGAGAACCCCTAGGCACTCCCAGTGATGGGAAGGATGCCTGAAGGAATTGCCCACACTCTTCCAGAGAACTCCAGGTCCAGCTTGGCAGCCAAGATGCAGCAGCTGCTCTCATACCTGAAGCCAGGGTTCTGTAGTCCCCCCCCCCCTGCTTGGAGGCCTGGGGGCTCAGCCAAAAGATGCCTTCAAGGATATGGGGAGGGACAAGGGGCTCCGTCCATCTGGCAGAGTGTGACCCTGTTCACCCCACCCCATTTCCAAGTAGCAGTGGATACACATGTGCACAGAATCGCCAACCGACTGAGATGGACCCAGAGGCCGACCAAGTCCCCAGAGGCAACCCGAGCCGCCCTGGAAGAGTGGCTGCCCAGGTAAGGCAGGGTGGGGTCCCTGTAGGCAGGGCCTTGTATCTCTCCCTCTTTGCTAACCCAGCTTCTATCCCCACAGGGAGCTGTGGAGCGAGATCAATGGGCTCTTGGTGGGTTTTGGCCAGCAGACCTGTCTGCCTGTCCACCCTCGCTGCCAGGCCTGTCTCAACCAGGCCCTGTGCCCCACTGCCCAGGGCCTCTGAGGGCTGTGGGCTGTGTTGCTTTGGCTTCTATCTGTGAAGTGCCTTGTTATCTTGCTCGGGGGTGTGGGGTGCAGCCTGTGAAATAAAGCGGGGAAGTATTTGCAATTGGGGTCTGGCTGACTTCTGTCCCTGAGGTATAAGAGCAGGCCAAAGAACGTGTGTATGCATATATATGCGTGTCTGAAGCAGGGTTTCCTGGGAGGCCATGCTTTGTACTTAGTGGGGGCGGGGAGAGTCGCGTACATGAACCCAGGAGGTAGGAAGTGGTAAGTGCCAGCTGTAGTCAGCTGCTGGGAAGCCACTGGGGAGGTGTCCTTGTGGCCTGCACATTCCTTCACCCGTGGGCTGCAGGCCTCTCTACCCAGACTCCGCCTCCTCCTGAAACAGGTGTTCCCCGGGAGCCTCTGCATGTTCCCCACCACACATACAGAGCCACCTGAGCCCAGAGCCCAAGGCTTGACCTGTGTGTACCTGCTGGAGGTGGAGGGACCTGTGCAAGGCAAAGGGGAATACGTGGAATATCACAAGCCCAGATGTCCTAATAGGAGGTGAAGGGAATCTGGTCCTTGCCAGGTGTGTGKGGGGGGCATGGGCCCAGAATGTGCCACAGGAACTGAGACAGGTCCTAGAGGTATGGAGGCCCCAAATGGGAGCAGGAACTCAGAGCAGCAGCCTTGGTCTCTTAGTCCCCTAGAATGGACCTCACTCCTCCACCCCACAACCGAAGACTGAGGAAAGACAYGGGATCGAGGCAAGTCCTGTTTATTCTGAGGGCGCACGTGCGCTATGGCTTACAAGGCAAAGAGCGGGGCTGGTCAGTTGGTTCAGGGGTCCAGGGCACCAAGGAAAGGGCAGAGTGGACAGGATGTCCCTGGGAGTGGGCACCAGGTTGGGGCCCAGCCCAGAAGCCCAGGGTCCTTCCTAGGAGCAGCTCTTGCGTGCTCATAATTCCCCAGGCCTGGGAATTGTGGTACAGGAAGAGGGACCTGTCCAGAGGCCACCCTGCCACCCTCCTAGGGGCATGGGGCCTCTATCCTCGGGCCCCTTAGCCCAGGCCCTGCACTCCACACTCCTGGTGGGATGGGACAATGCAGGGATGGCTTGGGGGGGGGGGGCCTGGCCTATTGACTTCCCCCACTCAAGGGAGGGTAGGGTTGAGGCAGAACAGGCAGCGTCTATAGGCACATCCTGCTCCCCAGTCTTTCCCCAAAACCAGCATAAGCACAGCCTGGAAGCCCCTGACTCTCTGTCCCCTAGAAGTCCCTGGGCTCCCACGCAGGATGGTGCTGCTGAGGGGGTGGGGAGGAAATGTTTTGCAGAGAAAGGTTTGTTTTATTGCAATTATTTAGAGAGTGAGTCCCAAGGGGGGSGGGGGAAGGGGACTCTGGAATTAAGTGGAAACATGTGTGGAGCTGGAAATCTTTTTGGAAAAAAAGCAAAAACATGAATTCCTTCCAGTCAGCAGGCCTCGGGGCAGGACAGCAAAGGCCCTCAGCCACGAACACTCTGCCCTCTCTCTCTCACTGTCTCTCTTTCCCCCATATTGCTGCAGCAGGGCCCAGCACCTGGTGGGGAGTGGGCAGGAAGGGACTCACTGGGGCACAGGTTGGTTTCTGGAGGTGGTGAGACCACCCTCCAGTCCACTGAGGCCTGGGGAGCTCTGGATGGGGCCTGAGGCCCAGGGGCCAAATAGGCAGGAGGGGGCTCAGAAGTTGCTGAAGATCTCACGTTTCCGGTTCCAGTCCATTTGCGGTGCCCGCTTGTTGACACGTGTGGCTCGAGCCTTCTCCTTGGCCTCAGCTGCTGTAGGGCTCAGGTGGAGGCCACTCTCTTGGAAGGGGTCCCGCTTCCAGGAACTGCCGTCCTGAGGGTAGGCAGGGTGCCAACAGTAAGCCCTAGACTGGTGCCACAGTTGGGCAGTCTTCCCAGGGAGCTCAAGCCAGAGGCTGCTTAGTAGGGTGGGGCAGCAGGCTCAGCAGGCCTTCCTGAAGGTGGTGGTCCCACTGCCCAAGCCSATATCTCCACAGACACCCACCCACAAGGCCTCTGGCACCCCATTGTGTGAGCGTGGTAACAGAGTTACCTCAGTGTCCTTSTCCGAGCCTGGCAGGTCGCTTCGAGATGAGCATACTGAGCCACCATTGAGCTGGGAAACCAAGGGCAATCATGGCCTCAGGGACCCCACCCAGGGAGCCACACACATGCTTGTGCACACTTTGCACACACACCACAGCTGCATCTGTTCCTCTTTTGGTAGAAACAGCATGTCTCTACCACTGGGCAGGGTGCTGGGCACCCCAGCTATGAACAGGCAGGTAGCCACTATGTGGGAAGGGTAGCTGTGGTGTGGGAATCAGCTCCACAAGTGTCACCGGGGGTGAAGCCAAGACCACCTTCCCAGGAAATGGGAACTGAGGGATGACTCAGTAGCTAGGTAGTGCAGGGAGAGGGAACACAGAGGACAGTGGCCCTGGACCACAGGTACCCACCTGCCAGCACTCTTTATGTGACCAGGGCATGGCGCTGACCCAAGAAGGGATCCTCAGTGCGCATTAAAGCTGGAGTGCCTGAGCCAGACTTGGGTCTCACAACCACACCTATTCTAGGGCAGAGATCTCCAGGGGAGGGGGCCTCCATCAGGCCTGGGGCCCCAGAGATACCGTTGTGGTTGCCTGGACCCACCCTCTCACCTGGGCAGGGCTGGTCCCGTTGGTGACTGGTGATGGCAGTGGACCTGTGGGGATAGCATGTCAGTGGCTTGTCTGTCCCCACACTGACCACACCCTGCACCCCAGGGCAGAGGCCCACCTTCCACATGCTCCTCAGTGGGTGTGACCCGCAGACGCTTGAAGTGTTCATCTGTCTCAGGGTCCACCACCAGTAGCCGGGCCTCATCCTCCCGTGCCTTGATGCGGGCAACAACCTCAGCATGGCGCAGCCCCTCCACATTCTGCCCGTTCACCTGCCACCATGACAGGGTCAGCATGGCCTGAGGGGCCCTGCCAGCCCCACACCCAGCCAAGTGTGCCATCAAATATTCATCAAAGCCACCACCAGCGGAGCCAGCAAGAGGAGTGCCAGCTCAGGTTCCCAGTGTCTCCCCTACTCCTGCAAGGACTTAGGGTCCAGGCAGGGACRSACACACACAGGGACATGCAGACATACAAGGACAAGGGCACTCAGATACACACTGAAGCCTCAGGCATGGTACCTCAATGAGCCGGTCCTGGGCATGGAGGCCAGAGTGGGCAGCAGGTGAGCCTGGGTCCACAGAGCGAATGTATTGACCAGGCCGGGACTTGTCACTGTGCAGGTTAAACCCATAGCCCTGGGGTCCCTTTCGCAGGTGGCAGAGCCGAGGGCGCAGCTCTCTGGGGGCCCCATTGATATCCTGCGGGCACACAGCGCACAGGATCAGGCTCTGGCCCCAGCCTCTCAGCCCCCATAAATGCCCACTGGGTCCCGCCCACTGTCAAGTCCTAAACTTAGCATCATGCCCCCATGGCAAGCCCCAGAGCTCAGTGACAACATTCCATGTGCCTCAGTGATTCAGTCTGCCTGTGACTGAACTCTAGCTAAGAGATCTTGGGCGAAATTAAAGCTTCCAAACGTGAAGACTTCTGATGGCAGATCTGCCTTGCCGAGGCCTTGGGAAAATCCATCAGCCTGAGGCAGCCCTGCACACTGACTGGGGTTGGAGGAAGAGGCCTGTGGGATGGGAKGTCTGTGCCCACAGTCCTCGCCTGGCTCCCTCCCTGCCCCCAAGCCTGGAAAGCTGCTTTTTCTTCCCTGACCTCTGAGAGGCTGGTTGCGGTGGCTGTGGCTGTGATGCTGTTTGTTTTCACATTCCAGCACAAACTAGAGCTGCCCCCAACTGCCCCYGCCCGCAACAAGAGCCCAGGAAGAAGGGGCTGGGGCAGGAGATGAGGTCCAGGGCCTGCCTCCCTGCCAGTGATACAGAAGCACTCAGAATACACACAGGGAACCCCCGCCACCACCACAGGGCCCTGCCTCACTTTACCTCTGGCATCCTGCAGTAGGGCTCAGGCCAGGGCCTATGCAGGCAGGGGCCAATCCAATGACCCCCCACCCAGACCCAGCCAGGGGCCAGGGCAGTGACTGTAGCACTGAATGGCCAGCGGCTGCCGGTGCTCAGTTACACATGGCAGGTGGCCGGGGTGAGTGGGCGGGTAGCAGCTCGGGTTTCTGAGGACTTGTTCAGGTGAGAGTGTGGTGGCCAGAGGGTGCTCACCAGGGTGTTTCCCCCACCTTCCACCTTCCAGCATACTAGGGTCGGTGGAACAGACTAGGGCTGGTTGCAAAGTGAAGGGAGTGCCCCTCAGATTACAAGGAAGGTCTCTAAGGCTTAGGTACTTGTTCCACTGAAGCCCAGACCACCCCTGACCACTCCAGTTGCCCAGCCTTAGAGCTCATACTGAACCCCAAGTCTGACTGGGAATGTCTGGGCAGCTTCCCACTGTGGGAGTGTCTGTCTCTGAGTAAGATGCTGTCTTTCCTCTTCTGAACACCCTCCTCCTGCCCAGCCTACACCCACTCAGGATCCCTTCCCTGGCCCCAAAGTCTGGCCAGACCCCTTGTCTGGATCTCCTGCCCACCCTCTGAATCCTCACTGTATGGCCACCACCTGCTCCTCAATCACCTCTTAATCTCCAGGACCCCACCACCTAGACTCATCCTCTCTCCCAGACACATCCAGAGGTACAGGTATGGAGCTCTGGGTCAGKACCTTGACACTTCCCCAMAGAAGTGCCCCTCAGGGACTCTGTCAGAGCACAATCTGGAGCAGCCAGTAGGCCAGGGTGCAAAGGAGGGCAGAGCAGGCAGAGCATGGAAGTGTGACATGGCTGTGTGTGGAATGGGAACTCAGGATGCAGGCCCATCACACYCAATCTCACACTCATAAATCCGCTTCATGGACACACAGCCTCCCACACAGACAAATGCASAGCCCATGGTGTTGGCCCCTGCAGCCTCTTCCCACGGCCTCTGCAGTGGCCTGCAGGGCGGGGTCTCTCAAGGCCCCCAAACAGGAAGCAGGATTTGGCCGGGTATCTGGGGCCATGAGGCCACATCCATGT